ACATTAATTATGTAGTGCACAACATCAAGAGTGAATATAACATGAGGAGTAATCAATATTCATTAGAAGATATATGTTTTATTAGGTGAGAATATTAAATCATCATAATAATCTTTTTTTTTGTGTGATGATGCTCAGCTTACAGTTGTTTTGTGACTTTGTGAGGCCCAAAATGGTGAAACTATGAGAGATTTGACTTGTCTTGGGGCCAGTAGAGGGAGCATACACATATGAACAATCGACAGAGTAACAGTTAGTTGCATATATGTGACTAAAATACAATCAAGTTTGTTCAATTCAAATTTCTTGTCATAATGTCAAAACATAGAATCAGAATCAAATGCCAGCCATCAAATTATTGTACACCACTTTTCACAAGGAAATAGCTATGATGGTTCCAAGATATATTCCTTTAACACAGTTAAGGTATGTATACATTTCTTACCTCGGCAGCGGCAGTGGCAGTGTGGAGATTATGTCCAAATTAAAGTGAGCAAATCTTTTATGCGCACGAAAATTGATCTTGTTTTTTGAGCCATTGAGTCACCGTGATTTACATCCTCCCAAATGTTATGTTGGACCGGGGTGGTGTGGGGGGCCCTTGAAGTTGGAGATTCAACCTTTAGAGAGAAGGAATACATTTCTTGATCTTTAATAACCTCAAAGTACATAAATATACTTCTTAATTACCAACACCTGAAACCAAAGGCCTTATGGTCGAGCGGCATAACTGTGGCCCCTCAAATAGAGGTAGTCGTCGTTTCGGGCAAATCAATTTTGTTTTGTTTGGGTTCAAAATTGTTTGTCCTAACCCTATATATAATCTCGGGTTGTCAGACTTATCGGATAGGTTGAACTAAAACTTTTAACATTTTCAAATTAACATTCTAAACTTTCAATTTTTTTTTTTTTTTTTTTTTGGGGGGGGGGGGGGGGGGGTGGGGGGTTCAATTTTAATATACTATTGTGTTGCCAACTATTACGTAATGTGATGACACCTCTATTACCATTCCAAATGGGTGGTCACAAGATCGGATGATGGGGTATTCATTCAATAAATTAGTGCATTTACATTCACAAATATAAACTTATACATCATGCAATCAATATAAACTTCCATTTTCAAATTCCAACTAAAAATAATTAATATGCTTACAATATAATATAATATTTGTTATAAAGATTAATTATTGTGGACATTATGAAGATTGATTGTGTAACGGTTAAATATTTATGTTTAGAATTATTGCTTTCCGTTACAAGTGTATATCATATATATGTTGTTGTAATATGTAGAAACATATGATGAATGACAAGATCCCTCTCCATTCTCTGTATTTTCCTTCTCCTTACTGTTTGATTTTACAACACGTTATTATTAGTATAGCTGTTATTTCCATATTATTATTTGTATAGTATATGGTTGTATTTATGTGGTAATAGATTAGTCTACAGTAGTTATACTTAGATGCTATTACTCAGGCATAGGATAGTCTTTGTTATAGGATATAACTCCGTATTTCCTATTATTCAGTTAATGATCGATTCACCTTCTCTAATATGGTATCAGACGGGTTTCGATTCTCTCTCTATCTCCACTGCACAAACTTTCCCCCTCTCACCCCTCACTCTCCGGCCATGTCGCAGAACTCTTCCGAGCACACCGTCTCCGCAGCCGGCTCTCCCACGCCGGCCGGCGGTGGCTCCCTCGCTGGAGCACACCATTACATATCGATGAAGTTGACGTCTAGAAACTTTCTTTTCTGGTGTACGCAGCTGATTCCCTTCCTCCGGGGACAAGAACTCCTTGGATATGTAGATGGAAGCTGCCCGTGTCCTCCGGCCATCATCCCCGCTGCGTCAACCTCCGAGGGTTCCTCCGGTGTCGCGGCAACCGTGTCCTCTCCGAATCTGGCGTACCACGCCTGGGTGAAGCAGGACCAGTCAATCCTATCGCTACTGGTCTCTTCCATGTCCGATGAAGTACTACACCTGGCGCTCGGCCGGAATACCGCAGCCGAGGTGTGGACCTCCATCACCAATGCACTAGGGTCCTCCAGTCAAGCCAGATGTCTAAATCTGTTGGGGCAGATACAGATGTTACGACAAGGGAACTCCACCACCGCCGATTACCTGGGAAGGGCGGGGGTTCTCGTTGAGTCGCTGGTTCAAGTCGGCCGTCCGCTTTCACTCATGGAGCAGAACCTCTATGTTTTTCGCGGACTCCGGTCGGAGCTCAAGTCGCTGGCGGAGTCTCTCACCGCGTCCGGGATTCCGGTGACTCTTTCTCACCTCTCGGATTTTTTGCAGGCCCATGAGTTCATCCTCGTGGATTCCGGCGTCGCACAAGGACTTGTACACCACTCCGGGCCGTGGCCAGAATCGTGGTGGCGGACGGCAAGGGCAGTCTTCTCCAGGTCGCGGCGGCAGGCAGTCAGGCGGCAGCCGTGGCGGGCAGAACCAGGGAGATCGTTGTGGCGGACGGCAAGGGCAGTCGTCTCCAGGTCGCGGCGACAGGCAGTCAGGCGGCAGCCGTGGCGGGCAGAACCGGGGAGTCCGTGGCGGACAGAACCGGGGAGGCCGTGGCGGACGAGGGGCTCCGCGGTGTCAGATATGCTGGTCACACGGCCAAACCGCGGTATACTGCTACAAAAGGTACACGAACCAACCGCCGGCGCAGGCTCATGTAGCGCTCTCCGGCGAACCACCGGCGGCAGCATCACCTCCGAGCGACGGCTGGTATCCGGATACCGGAGCCACCGCGCATGCTACTCCGGATGCAGGGATGATGGCGCAATCTGATGAGTATGGGGGACCTGATGTCCTTTGGGTTGGAAATGGCGCAGGTATGGCAATCTCGCGAGTCGGTCATGCATCAATCCCATCCGCGTCAAAATCTCTAAAATTAACCAATATTTTACATGTCCCGAATTTATTTGTACCTCTTTATCAGTACATAAATTTACTACTGATAATAATGTTTTTTTTGAATTTCACAATTCTTGTTTTTTTGTGAAGGATTCCACAACCAAAGTGGTTCTGCTTAGGGGTCCCACCACAGGTGGTATGTACAAGCTCCCGCTGTCTCGGTCAGGTTTCGCGTTTATAAGTTCCTGTGCCAATCCCACTGTTTGGCATCGCAGGCTCGGTCATCTACATAAGCTTGTTCAGAATAAAGTTCTCAAAAGTTGCTGAACCGGTTGAGTCATGAGCCCTGTGTCACCTTGGCAAATCATCACGTTTCAAATTAGACAATGTCTCTCATAGTAGCGAAAATGTATTAGATTTGATTTACACGGACATTTGGGGTCCGCCTCCTGTAATATCAACTAGTGTTTTCGTTACTTTTTATTATTTGTAGATGATATTTCCAGATTCTGCTGGTTTTATCCGTTACGGATAAAATCAGACATATATAAAGCCTTCGAGTCGTTTCGTGTGTTGGTAGAGCGCCAATTTGCGCGTTCTATCAAGTCTATTCAATTTGATTTAGGGGGTGAGTACCGAAAACTACACACAACTTTTTAAAAATTGGGCATAAACCACTGTCAATCGTGTACCTATACACATGAACAAAACGGGAGGGTAGAGCGTCGGAATAGACACATCGTCGAAACCGGCCTCGCCCTTCTTGCCCAAGGCAACGTACCCCATCAATACTGGGACTTTGCGTTTGAAACTACAACCAGTTTAATTAACTTCCTACCCTCTTCGACCATACAATTTGAAAGTCCATATACTCGTCTCTTTAAAAATTCTCCCCCCTATACGTTTCTTCGTGTCTTCGGGTGCCGGTGTTACCCATATCTTCGCCCATATAATAGGCACAAGATTGAGTATCGCTCGGCCCCATGTGTATTCCTAGGTTACCCTATCTCCTTTAGGGGATACAGATGCCTTGACATGACAAGCGGGTAAACCTACATCTGTCGTCATGTCCGATTTGACGAATCTGTTTTTCCTTTTTCTACAGATCCTGCACACAAGGGTGTTATACCGCCACAACTACAATGGGCCGTAGCACCACTTGTAGCTCATGCTCCACCACATGGGCCAACACCGAGCCCAATACCGAGCTCAGATGGGCCAACACCGAGTTCAGATGAACCCGTACCACTAGCACATGAATCACCACGGCTTGCAATTACTAATACTGCTCCGGTGAGGACTCGCAAGGCCCGAGCCCAACCACAAGTCAGGGACCACGTCATGCGTCTCCGTCACATGACACGGGGTACAGATGAGCCTTTTCAGGCCCTTAATGTGTCCACAGATCCCACGTGTTACTCTCAAGTAGTGGGACACCCACATTGGCGTGAAGCAATGGACCAGGAGTTTAATGCTTTACTCTACAATAACAACTGGCGACTTGTACCGCCCGAACCCCACATGGATATAATTGGCTGTAAATGGGTGTTTCGTACCAAACGCACCGCTGATGGTTCGATAGAGCGGCACAAGGCATGCCTTGTTGCCAAAGGGTTCAATCAAGTCGCAGGAGAAGACTTCTTTGACACTTTCAGTCCTGTGGTCAAACCGACCACGGTCCGTATGCTTCTTTCTCTAGCTGTCTCAAACGGTTGGACTCTCCACCAGTTAGATGTTCATAATGCCTTTTTGAACGGTCATCTGGCAGAAACCGTTTACATGAAGCAACCACCGGGTTATGAAGACCCAGCAAACCCAGAACATGTCTGTCATCTCCAAAGGTCGCTTTATGGCTTGAAACAGGTCCCCCCGGGCATGGTTTAAACGACTTCATGATTTCTTGTTGTCTGCAGGGTTCAACTCATCCAAGATGAATGTTTCTCTTTTTTACTATACTGCAGGAGAGTCTCGTGTGTTCTTATTGGTCTATGTCGACGACATTATAATTATGGGCAACAATCCACAACTTGTAAACACACTTCAAAATCCGTGATCTTGGTTCACCAAGTTTCTTTTTCGGGATTGAAACCATCACTGCAGGCACGAGTATAATTCTATCACAACGCTGTTATATGAAAGATCTACTGGGACGGTCTGGGATGCTAGACTGTAAGCTTCTTGCTACACCCGCTGCAGTTACAAAGGCAGTTACACCCTCCGAACAACTGTTTGATAACGCAACGCAGTATCGGCGCATTGTGGAGGCGTTACAGTATTTGACCATTACTCGGCCTGACTTATCTTATGCTGTCAATCGACTGTGTCAGTTCTTGCACTCTCCAACGATCGATCACTGGGCCCTGGTCAAACGTCTCCTACGCTACATCAAGGGGACACTTGACTTTGGGCTACGACTCACACCGTCTTTGTCAACTACTATTCATGCCTTTTCCGACTCTGACTGGGCTGGGTGTCCGATAGACAGGAAGAGTACGAGTGGTTTTGCGGTTTACTTGGGTTCGAACCTGGTGTCATGGTTATCTAAGAAGCAACGTATGGTAGCCCGATCGTCCACGGAAGGGAGTACAAAGCTCTTGCCGATGTATCCGCCGAGGTAACCTGGGTTGTTTCGTTGTTACGGGAACTGGGCCTACATTCGGGTCACCTTACGACGCTATGGTGTGACAATCTTGGTGCCACGTATCTGTGTGCCAATCCGATTTTTCATGACAGGACGAAACACGTCGAGATTGACTATCACTTTGTACGGGACAAGGTAGCTTCCGGGGATTTCATCCTCAATTATGTTTCTACTACGGATCAGATAGTTGACATCTTCACGAAGCCTCTACCTGGGCCGCGCTTCGCTGCTCTACGTGACAAGCTCAATGTGGAGGCTCTCCAACCTTGTGCTTGAGGGGGTGTATTAGTATAGCTGTTATTTCCATATTATTATTATTTGTATAGTATATGGTTGTATTTATGTGGTAATAGATTAGTCTACAGTAGTTATACTTAGATGCTATTACTCAGACATAGGAAATTCTTTGTTATAGGATATAACTCTGTATTTCCTATTATTCTGTTAATGATCGATTCACCTTCTCTAATCATTATCAGTACTTTGCTCTACATATTCGCAAGGAGAATTGGAGGTGGTAACTAGTTTATCGCGATCGTCCGAGGTCGTTTTGCCGGTGGGAGATGACCGTCGTTCACTTTCTGTAGTGCGGACGTCGGCCGCGATTTTTTCCGCTGGCCCTAGATCTCCGTCTCTTGACCCATCAATCGCGATCCAGAGTGCCGATCTTCTATCAGGCATAGGAGATGAAAATTATTAATAAAAATATTATATTTTGTAATAAATTTATTAATATGTTTATTAAAATTTTATTTTTAAAAAATTAATAAAAATACTAAAGATGAACTGACATATAAACTCCATGTATATATATTTGTTCAACATCACCTCTCTAACAAAGAATAGCTTTAAGTAGCTCAGGCAGTCGTTATATCGTGCACCGCGGTGCATAATCGATTATGCACCGTGCGTCAAAATGATGCTGTTTCTGCAGTTATAACGGAGTGACACTACAGTGTGTCTAAACCGACAGTGTCTCACGTATTATTTTTATATTATCAAATGAAACTGCAGTTATATCAAAGTGATACTGTAGTTGTGGTGAAATGAAACTACAGTATATATAAAATGAAACTGAATAACATTTCACATATTTGAGTGTATATTGTACAATGAAGCTGTAATTATATTGAAATGATCATGTAGTTGTGTTTTAATGAAACTATAGTGTATATAAAATAAAATTAAATAACATTTTCACATATTTGAGCGTATAAATATTGAATGAAACTGTAGTTATAACGAAATGAAACTGTAGTTGTGTTGAACTGAAACTGCAGTGTATACAAAATGAAACTAAAGAACAAAGTTATTTTTTGCGAAAATTATGTGTCTTTTCATTAAATAAAACGACGTCGTTTTGATGCGCGGTGCATAATTGATTATGCACCGCGGTGCACGATATAATTTGTCTAGCTCAGGCTATCGAGCTAATAACCACTAAATTTTAGGCTAGCCTGTTCGAGCCATTGAGCTTATCAGTTTCAGGCTTATCGAATTGATTTTTTATTGTGTAAAAATATTTCGATCTCTAAAGTTTTTCGATCTTATCAGATCAACTCATCAATTTCAGGCTAAGATTCACATCCCTAATATACATGCACTGTGTGAATGGGCAAATTATGTTGTGCAACTGTGTGAACTATGCATGGTGCACACAGAATTGGATTCATAATTTCTATACTATAGATTCATAATTATTGAACTCTATATTCACAGTTACAAAACTCTATGTTCAAAATTTTTTGAATGTTCATATTCCCAATTTGTTGAACTCTGTATTCACAAATCACTGAACTATATATTCGTAATTTGATAACTATACAGTATAGAAATTATGAATCTACAGTTTAGAAATTATGAATCTACAGTAGGAATTATGAATCTATAGTTTATGAATTATGAATCTATAGTATAGAAATTATGAATCTATAATATAGAAATTATGGATCCAATTCCGTGTACACCTTGTATGGTGCACACGGTTGCACAGCATAACGCTCCGTGTGAATGAGTGTTGTATTTGGACATTGAATACAAGTATATTTACTATTTAGTAGACATACTGATTGTTCTTCAATTCGTTGTTTTGTGTGGCGGTTTTTTTTTTTTTCTTTAAAAAATTGTGGTTAAGTTAATAAACAAATACTTGTAAACTGATAATTGACATACTGATACTTGTTTTGTGGTCCGCTTCGATGCCTAAACGATCCCCATCTGGCTGAGGCGCTTGCTGTGAAGGAAACCCTTTCTTGGTCAAGAGAGAAAGGTCTCACAAGAATTCAGGTTTTTACTGATTGTCAAGTTGTCAAGTGGTGTCTTTTAGTTACATTTCTCGGTCAGTGAATAAGTTAGCCCACGCTCTTGCGAGGGATGCTCGTTCTCATACTGGCGTTTCTAGTTTGTCTATTTCTATTCCCAGTTGTATTGCACACTTAATTTAATACAAGCTTTTCCTTTAGTTTTCAAAAAAATACTTGTAAACTAATAATATAATTGTAAAGTGTATATATATATATATATATATATATATATATATATATATATATATATATATATATATATATATATATATATATATATATATATAGAGAGAGAGAGAGAGAGAGAGAGAGAGAGAAATGGTTATATGTAGTAATGTATTGTTTCAATCAAAAAATACTTTTAAATTATAATCTGTGGAGGATGAAAATGCTACATTTATGCAAGGATGGGTGATTTTGATACCACAAAACATACTCAAGTGTACAAACAATGAAATTGAATGAATTGGTAAGTGCTACGAGAAAGTATAAGGGTTTGATAGGACTTTATCTTAATGAATCTAATTCAAAGCAAATATTTAAAGGGGGTGTATTCAATCAAGACTTTTAAAGAGTTTCAAAGACTTTTAAAGTGATGGATTTTAAATGACTTTTGTAGACTTTCATAGAATCTTTTAAACTTTCATCAACTCTGTAAGAGTCTTTAAAAATCTATAGGACCAACATTTATAGACTTTTAAAAACTTTTTCATATTAAAAAGTCTACAAAAGTCATTAAAACTCTAAATTGAATACACCCTTACAAACATTTCATTACTTTTATTAATACATTATTTATAATTTTCTTACAAAAATATATTTTTATAAACCATAAATAAACTAATGTATTGCAAAAAAATATATATATTGATTGTCACAAAAATAAAATGAAAAATTACAAATTAAAATATTCATCTTGCTAGTACAACTATCTTTGATTGGAATTGATTTCACCTTGTTGGGTATCTCTCCAATATCCAAAGCTATTTTAGCCCTCCATTCATTGGCATGTTCTCGTTGTTGTTCATGAGTTTCAAATAGTTGTTCAAAATTATCTACATCATTCATCGGTAAAGGTGAAACAGATTCATCATTATTTAGGTCAACTGGAAACTCATCACTACGACACTCATCGGTAAAAAAATTTCTGATGAAAACAACAACAAAACTTAAGCATATTAAAAATCTGTTGCGAACAGCAGCAGCTTGCTTCTGTTCGCAACAGATTTAAGCAGTTTAAAAAATCTGCTGCGAACAGCAGCTGTGAACAGCAAGCTTGCTGTTCACAGCAGCAAAACAAAATTGTATAAATAAAAAAAAATATATATAAAGTATAGTTTAATGAAAAGTTTGAAACGTACCGTAAATTTTGGTAGAAATTGATGAAAAATTTATCTGGTTGAGATAGAGATAAAAGTCTATAGAGAAATTGAAAAGTTTGGGGTTGGAGGGTCGGATTTCATCTATTTATATTAATGAAGAAAAAGTCCACAGAAATCCTATTCTGATAGAGTCTATGAAAGTTGATAAATATTTGAATACCAGTAGACTTTTACAGACTCTATAAAAGTCTGAAACGAATACAAGTATACTTTTAAAGACTTTTGAAAAGTCTGAATCGAATACTGGTAGACTTCTAAAGAGTCTTTAAAAGTCTAAATTGAATACCCCCAAACTTTGAAAGTCATTAAAAGTCTTTAAAACTCTTTAAAAGTCTGGATTGAATACACCCCCCTAAGTCATATGGAAGGGACTAAGACATATTGGCGAATTATCATGGCCTATATTTTATAATCATTTGTTATTTATTGTGATTGTCTGAAGAGGAAAAAAATCTGTTGTTTTCATTTGTTATTCGTCAATTGACTAACGTATCACAAGTTGTTTTTTTTTTTTTTTTCCTAATCCTATATCTCCATGGCGGTGTTAGTGATATTATTATTGTTACATTTATTATTATTATCTTAATCTAGTGTTATATTGTAATAGAATAAGTCTCAAGTGACTAGGCTATTAGTTAGGAGATATTAGTGGTATAGTTTGATATCCTCTCCTGTATCTCTGTTCTGTTGAAACTGAATAACAAATCATTCTCTAATTTGGTATCAGCCAAGTCGATCCTCCCTCTTTCCTCTTTGATCGGAAAACCAACCGAGACCCACCGCCACCATGTCGTCGAACTCCTCCGAGAGGACCATTTCCGCCGCCGGCGGCTCATCCCCGACCGGCACCAACCCGTTAACGGGAGCTCATCACTTCATCTCCATGAAGTTAACGTCCAGAAACTTCTTATTCTGGCGTACCCAGCTCATTCCGTTTCTACGTGGACAGGATCTCATCGGCTTCGTGGATGGCAGTTTACCGTGCCCTCCTCTGACCATTGTCTCTCCACCCTCCGGCGACTCCAATTCTAGCGCGACCACGGCGGAATCAACACCCAATCCGGCACACAATGCCTGGATTCAACAGGATCCATCGATCCTTTCCCTTCTCATCTTGTCAATGTCCGACGAGGTTCTCCACCTTGCGGTTGGCTGGAACACCGTGGCTGAGGTTTGGCGACCCATCTGAACGACGTTAGGCTCCAACACCCAAGCAAGAAGCCTCAACTTGCTGGGGCAATTTCAATCTCTTCGACAAGGAAACTCGACGCCGACAGATTACCTCGGCAAAGCGGAACTCCTCGTCGCCGCGCTTGCACAGGTCGGGCAGCCTTTGTCGCTTGCAGAACAGAACTTGTACGTGCTGAGAGGCCTTCGACCGGAGTACAGGTCTTATGCAGCTTCTCTCACCGCCAATTCGCCGGTGACACTCCCGCAATTGGCCGACTACCTCCAAGCTGCTGACTTCATTCTCGCCGACGACTATCTACCGGCGGGAGATGGTGTTCCAGTGGCATCGCATGCGGCGCTCTATGCCGGTCGTGGTCGTGGTGGCCATGGCAATTCGCATGGCAGTGGTGGACGGCGAGGAGGCCGCGGAAGCCGTAACAGCAACAACGGCCGCGGTGGACGCGGCGGCCTGGGTCCCCCACGGTGTCAAATTTCCAGAGCTCAGGGCCACACTGCCGTTTATTGTTACAAACGGTACTCCACTCAACCACCTACGCAGGCGAACGTTGCGTCTCCGGCGACGTGACCTTGGGACTTCGCCTTTGAAACTGCCACGTGCCTAATAAACTACCTCCCAACTAAAGTCCTCAATTCTGAAAGTCCGTACTCTCGTCTATACAAAAAGCCACCACCCTATCAATTTCTTCGTGTCTTCGAGTGTCAGTGTTATCCCTATCTTCGGCCTTACAATCAGCATAAGATAGAGTATCGCTCCACCCCGTGCGTCTTCCTAGGTTACCCACCGTCCTATAGGGGGTACAGATGTATGGATCTATTCAGTGGGAAAACCTATATCTGTCGCCATGTGCGATTTGACGAATGTGTGTTTCCTTTTAATACAGGACTGATGCAGTAGGCCCCGCCACCCAACACGGGTCCCACACCAGTCACTGAGGCTGTCCCACTTGCTCAGGAGCCACATTGCTTAGCCGTTGCACACACGCCCCCACCTCGGGCTCGGAAGCGCACTGCTCAGGTGCAACCCCCAGACAGGGGGCACGTCATGCGGCTTCGGCACATGAATCGGGGCACTAATGAAGAATTTCAGGCCCTCACTACAACGACTGATCCCACGTGCTATTCCCAAGTTGTAGGGCATCCACAGTGGCGGGATGCTATGGACCAGGAATTCAATGCCCTGCTCCACAATAACACCTGGACACTTGTACCACCTGAGCCTACCATGAACATCATTGGGTGCAAATGGGTATTCCATACCAAACGCACTGCAGACGGGTCTGTGGAGCGTTACAAGGCACGTCTAGTCACCAAAGGATTTAATCAAGTTGCCGGAGGGGACTTCTTCAACACTTTTAGTCCGGTGGTCAAACCCACTACGGTCCGTATCCTATTCTCATTGGCTGTCTCTCACAAGTGGACCCTACGGCAGTTGGATGTCCACAATACCTTCCTGAACGGCCACTTGGCTGAGACAGTGTACATGAAACAGCCACCGGGGTATGACGACCCAGCTCATCCTGACCATGTTTGCCACTTGAAATGCTCGCTCTATGGCCTCAAATAGGCACCCAGGGCGTGGTTCAAGCGGCTTCACGACTTCTTAATATCTGCAGGTTTCTCTTCGTCCAAGACAGATGTTTCTCTATTTTACAACACCACCGGCGGGTCAAAGGTGTTTTTACTGGTCTACGTAGATGACATCATCATGATGGGAAGCGACGCCAGCTTGGTCAAATCTCTCCTTACTCGCCTTGCATCTGCCTTCAAAATCCGGGACCTAGGCAAACCAGGCTTCTTTTTGGGCATTGAGACAGTTGAGGCAGAAGGTGGTATGGTTCTTTAGCAGCGGCGTTACATGACGGACTTACTTGGCCGAGCTGGGATGGTCGATTGCAAGCCCCTTGCTACACCAGCTGCTGTTACTAAAGCAGTCACTCCGTCTGATGAACTATTTGATAACCCGACACAGTATCGCCGCATAGTAGGGGCACTGTGGTATCTCACAATCACTCGGCCGGACCTCTCCTTCGCAGTCAATCGGCTGTGCCAGTTTATGCATTCTCCGACTGTCGACCATTGGGCCCTGGTTAAGCGTGTGTTGCGCTATGTCAAGGGTACTCTTGCTTTTGGATTACGGATCACGCCTTCACCGACTACTACCATACATGCATATTCAGACTCCGACTAGGCTGGTTGTCCTACAGACATGAAAAGCACCAGTGGCTATGTTGTATTCCTGGGGGACAATATCATCTCTTGGCAGTCCCGGAAGCAGCGCACCGTGGCTCATTCCTCTACTGAAGCAGAATACAAAGCTTTGGCTGATGTCGCTGCTGAAGTTACTTGGGTAGTCTCTTTATTACGCGAGCTAGGACTGCATAACGGGCAACCATTCAGTATTTGGTGTGATAACTTGGGTGCCACGTACCTCTGTGCCAACCCAGTTTTTCATGGTCGAACGAAACACGTTGAGATCGACTATCATTTCGTTTGTGACAAGGTTGCGTCTGGGGACTTTGTGGTTAATTTTGTGTCAACCAAAGATCAGAGTGCCAATGTCTTCACCAAACCTTTGCCGGGACCGCGTTTTTCTACTCTTCGGGCCAAGCTCAATGTGGTGCCTCACCAACCTTGTGCTTGAGGGGGTGTGTTAGTGATATTATTATTGTTACATTTATTATTATTATTATTATCTTAGTCTAGTGTTATATTGTAATAGAATAAGTCTCAGGTGACTAGGCTATTAGTTAGGAGATATTAGTGGTATATATAGTTTGATATACTCTCATGTATCTCTGCTTTGTTGAAACTGAATAACAAATCATCCTCTAATCGCGGCTACTACAAGCACCATAGTTATCCAATTGATAGCTCTCACCCACTTCTCATTAAACTCAACTCCTCTAATTTCTCGATCGATGTAGTAAAAAACAATCAAGTATGCTCATATAGGGCTCATTGTTGTAGGTTATGTTGACGAAACACTCGCAATTTCTACTAAATTCATTGATGCAGCCAAAACATTATCATCCAATCCTTGCTACACCATTTGGTTTAATTTCGTCATGATCAAACTATTGTTAGTGTTCTTCTCTCGGATGTGATTCAACCTCTCATATTGTGGATCAATTGCCTCCTCTTAAAAAGCTTGGGAGTGTTTGGCTGCTAGTTTTGCAAGCACTTCTAATAGAAATATTTAGTTTTTCTCATATTATCTCAACTTCCAAATTAAAGCGAGCACTCTAGGAGTGAAAAATCTATCTCTAAGAGGGTATTCAATCATGACTTTTGTAGAGTTTTAAAGACTTTTAAAATGATAGATTTTAATAAACTTTAATTGACTTCCATAGAGTCGTTTAAAACTTTTTAAAACTTTATAAGACTCTATAAAAGTCTATATAAAAAACATTCATAGGCTTTTATCAACTTTTTATTTTGAAATGTCTACAAAAGTCATTGAAATTCTAAATTGAATACATCCTTACAAACTTTCAATGATTTTGATTCTTATCATTTATATAATTTTCTTACAAAACATTTATAATATATCATAAAATTTTCTTATTATATAGTTCTTCACCTACATCAACATTATTATTTATCGCCATAGTATGTAGGTTGAGACTTATATGCTAATTATTTATATATATTATTAATAAACATAAAAAAACAAATTTATTTCATTAGAAATTCATAACAATATTGAATAATAAAATTTATTAAAAAAATTGATCAAATAAAATATTTAAAAATATAATTACAAGTTGCATAAAATAAAAAAAAATTAATATTTATAATATATATATATATATATATATATATATATATATATATATATATATATATATATATATATATATATATATATATATATATATATAATTATACTTGATATATTGCTAGGAATCATGCATAGAACTATTATTTGCAATAAGAGACTTCGAACAACAAGAAGGTGCTACTGTTTGCAACCCCAAATTGTTGTTGCGAACAGTAGTTCGCTATTCGTAGTAACTTGTTAAAAATAGGAAAAATATATATTACGAATATAAACATAAAAAGAATAAAAATCAAAATATATAAGTATTTATATGAATATTTTGAAACATATACTAAAATTTGATGATGAAAAATTTGCTTTGTTCATGTATTTAGGGAGAATTAGAGAAAGTTAGGGATAAAAAAATCATTGAAAAAATAAAAATCAATATAAACAAGCAATAATGAAGTAAAAATAATATTATTTCGAATTTTTAGAGGAAGATTGTAAAGTTTAGGAGAGAGAAAAAAATGGTAGAGTTTTAGGTATGAGGAAAATATGAGATAATGAAGAAAAATTTAATTTTATTAAATTTAGATAGGTTTATAAAGTTTAAATAGGGAGAAAAATAGAGTTTAAGTAGGGAGAGAAAACATTCAAAGTTATTAGAAAGAAAATTTTGAAATCTTGGGGTTGATGGTTGGATTTCAACTATTTATATTTGAGAATGAAAAGTCTACAAAGTCTTAAAATTAAAAAGTCTACAAAAGTTCATAGCTTTTTTAATACCACTTGACTTTTAAAGACTCTATAAAAGTCTTAATCGAACCACACGACTTTTAAAGACTCTTTAAAAATCTTGATTGAATACCGCTTGACTTTTAAAGACTCTCTAAAAGTTTGAATTGAATACCCCCAAACTTTTAAAGTTCGTAAAAGTCTTTAAAACTCTATGAAAGTCATGATTGAATACACCCCCCTAAGTTTCTTCTAGAAATGCAATAAGTTGAGAATGCTTTAGTGTTGGGCCAGAGTTTGATCTTGGAGGAAGACTTGCATTCAAGACTCACGGTATAATTTAGGGTTTATTTTGTACACCGTAATAATTAAGAAGATAGAAAGGCAATGTTTCAAGCTTCAATCGTAGGATTGATGAGAAACCAATGCTCCCTTCTTTCCTCATATTTACCATGATTTAACCTTGTATCCATTTTGTTCAATGAAGATGTCTGTTCTTAACATAATTATATTTTGGATTATGGATTGTGTTTATTAGTCTATTTTGATGTTTGTTTCTTAATATATTGTGATTTGTTAGTTTAGTTCCTACAAGCTTTTAATTTGTGTACATCATATATATTATTGATGTGTGTGATTTTTTGCTAAATCTCATATATATTTGCTATGTTGTATGAAAATTGAGCATAGCTAGAACATTATTTTCCACACAGCTATATAGATTTTTGCATTATGGGAACATGTAGAAATCATAGGGGGGTTTCTTGACTAATCTTAGGTTTTTTACACCATGGGAGTGGATAGGAATTTAGGAATTTATCTTTGGATAGCTTTAGTGTAAGTTCTTAAAATTTATAGTATTGTCTCAGGTTTTTTACACCATGGGAGTGGGTAGGAATTTAGGAATTAATCTTTGAATAGCCTTTGTGTAATTTCTTAAAATTTATAGTATTAACTTGCATATGGGTATGATGAATACTTAGGTTTTTCATGGGCTAGTTTTACTTTTAAACTATGGAAGTAACGAATCTTGTAGGTTATTACACTCTGTAGATTATGAGAGTGGCACCAAAAAATTTTACCACAATTCCTCCCTTCGCAAGGCATAAAACTATATTTTTTTACCTTAGTTTGACTCAATATAAGCATTAAATGATCCATTTCCTTTACCTTCATTGTATATCTCTCTTCATATATTGCACTCAGTTTAGATTTATTTAGTTTCCTTGCTTCCACTTTGTTATAATAGAACTAGCTTCACAAGAATCAATCAAAGTTAGTGTTAACACTTCATTTCCTATAGATTGATACCTCAAAATACTCCTAGGGTCTAAGTTGACCTTTAATGCTGGAAGAATGAAACACCCATTTCTCCTTCTAAATGTTGAAAAAAATGGTATTTATAGTGGTGATTTAGAGGTTTTGTTTTAAGTGGGGTCAAATTTTAATTTGGGTTGGATCAAAGTGGATTTGAATTCTCTTAGTTGAAATGATTAATTTGATATATTATACACTCAAAATTAGTAATAAGTGTATGAGAGATTGATTCTCAAAGTAAACTCATAATGTTAGAAAAATAGAGCTTTGAAAAACTTAAAGTAGCCTTTGGGTTTCCACTAGCTAGTATAAATTCATTTTAAAGAGTTTGAAATATGTAGCTAAGATATTTTCTCTTATCCACAACGGAGAGAGGGTGTATAGATCAAAATTTCAAAATGAGTTCTGCAAGCTTGAAGTCATATGCACACCCATGACTGAATGTTCATTAAAAAATCGACAGCAAACACAAGCTAAAAGTTTTGTAAATTTTTTCAAAATATTTTCATAAAACATCAATAAGATCCACTAAGGAAATCATGGTCTGTTGTTTGACTCAATTGTGACTCAAGGTTCACAACATGACCCCAAGTATGCTAATCGATCTGTTGTTTTACCTTACTCTAACGGGTTGAGTAGTTAACTAGTATTTACAATTTAATTGGCGAGTTTGCTTACCGGACTGACAAAATGAGATTTTTGAAGTTTGTCGAATTTCTCTTTATAAATAGTTGTCTCTGCTAGTATTAACATCTACAAAGTACTATTTTTGCCTCTCTACTTATTGGCATGATTTGTTGAAATTGACTGGGTTGATTAATTCTTGTCAGTTTCAAGAGTTATAAGGTTTAACTCCAATTTTAATTGATATTCAGTCTTTATTGTTTCATATTATTGTCAGGGTTATGAATCTTAATTATAAATTCAAATTTAATGCCAGTAATGCTATTTATTTTTAAGTTCCGTACAAATACTGTAGTGTTGGGCAAAAGTTTCTATAGTAAATAAACATATATCTATTTTCGCTCTTTACATATCAAAAAATCCTAGAAAATAAGCCAATTAACAATTTTCCTAAAAATTTCCTATTTTCTACCATGGTGGATAATTTAGCAACCAATTATCCACCACGGTCCACGTACTCCTATCAAGGAGATCAAGTCAAACGTAGTTCAAATGATTTTTTGTTTTACAAAGTAGAGCCGTTCACAGTTTAGACTCATGCGGGCCAGGAGCGTCTATAATTTGGGCCCACCCATAGACAAAGCGAGATGCATTAGCAGTTTAACCACGTGCTGCATTTTTGGTGGATGAGTCATTCATCAGATCTTCATGACTTGTGTTGACACCCCAAGTTTAAGGGTGGTAAAGCT